CATTCATTCATTATTTCCTCAGTGTTTACTATGTGACAGGATTGTGCTAGTCACCGGGAATATAATTGTGAGTAAAGAATGACACATTTGCTGCCTTCCTAAATTTTACTCTATGGGAAAACATCAATCACACAGAAAAATGTAGTTACATCTTTACTAAGAAAAGATACAGTCTTATGAGAATACACAATAGGAGTATTTAACATAATAGGTCAGGAATGCTTCCTCCAGTTGTGATAAGTGAGCGCCTAAAGGAAACACAGGCATTAACGAGGGGAAATGAGGAGGGTAGTTAGAGGAATAACAGGTGTGAATGTGGGGAAAGCAATTCAGAGCTAATTACAGTTCTCAAGAATTTGAAGTAGCATGTCCAAGGTAGTAGCCATAGAGATGCAGAGAAATGAAGATTCAAGATATGATGGGGGAATGAAAGCAATAGGACTTAGTAGTAACCCCCTCCCTCCACCACACACACCCCAAAGGTTGAGACTGTTCGGGTTTCTGACAATAAAGGTTTGTTTTGCCTTACACAGATATGTTTAAGAGAATCAATTTCCAGCTCCTCAACTTCCATGGATACCCTCCCCAAAATTGATCTGCCTGAGAACAGTACCTTTTTTCAAAAGAAAAGCTCACCTTCTACCCAAATAAAACCTTACTATGATCCATTACTCAAGGATAAAATTCCCCCGTGTGCCAAACACAAAGATAAACTGAATTCTGGTTTGGGGGAAGTCCCCTATAGTGATTAACCAAGACACCTCAAAGCTATCTTTCCTCATTTTATACCTATTTTCGTTTAAGACTGTAGTTAAGAGAATCAGGACATTCTGGCCTATGTTGGGATGTTCTGAATTCCAAACAGAAGATGCCACATAAATTATGACCTTGATTCTTTTAAAAGCAACTTGAGTATTATGCAAGACTACTAAATTTTTTGAGACTGGATAAAATTGATGGATAAAATGCATAAGATTTATTCAATAAAGTACTTCAAGTTAGTTTTAGCATATCTTTTGTTTTCCAAGCCATCTAATCACATTGATTCTGGCACTCTGGACAGCAGTTGGGGTTAGTTATCTTAATGCTTTGGAGCTATCCAGTTTTTTCTGCAATTTCTGCAAAATCTCGTACAGATCTTGCTGTCACTTAATGGCTTTACTCAAAGACTGTATTAAATTAAATGAAGGTTATCAAGGCATAAGGTGTTCAAAATAGCATTAGTCTTTTAATAATTGAAAACTAACATACATAGTCTCATAAGAAGGGAAGATAGTGGATCATTGAATGCAGAAGTAAAAATGATAACCCAGCTTTTTTCTATTAAGCCAGCCATTAAAGAGATCTCCAAAATGTAGCCTGCTGGTGTCTGGCTCAGTGGTTGAGCAACCACCCATGCACCAAGAGGTCACCAGTACGATTCCCAGCTAGGGCACATGCCCAGCTTGCAGGGTCACAGGCTCAGTTCCCCAGTGGGGGTCATGCATGAGGCAAGCAATCAATATTTCTCTCTCCCCCTTCTTGTCTCTTGAAAATCAATAAAAACATTTAAAAAATAAAATCAATAAAGAAAAAATATTTTTAAAAACTGTAAGTAGTGCCACTCTTCTCACTAAATTTTCATTTTAGAAAATGGTTTTTACCCTGGCTGGTTTTGCTCAGTGGTTAGAGCGTCGGCCCATGGACCAGAGAGTCCCGGGTTTGGTTCCCACTAAGGGCATGTACCTTGGTGGCAGTTTGTCCCCAGCCCTGGTCGGGGTCATGTGGGTGGCAACCAGTCGATGTGTCTCTCTCGCATCGATGTTTCTCTCTCTCTTCCCCACCCTCTCCCTCCTGCTCTATCGAAATATAAATGCAAAAATGTCCTTGGGTGAGGATAAAAACAATTTTTTAAATGTTTAATTTAAAAAATTTTATATTGCCCAGCTGGTGTGGCTCATAGACTGAGCTTCATCCCATGGACCAAGAGGTCACTGGTTCAATTCCCAGTCAAGGAACATGCCTGGGTTTCAGGCTCAACCCCCAGTAGGGGACGTGCAGGAGGAAGCGAATATATGTGTCTACCTCTCCCTCTCCCTTCCTCTAAAATCAGTAAAAACATATTTTAAAAAAAATTCATATTAACATATATTGGGTTTACTGTTATTTTAAAACAATACTTTTAAATGTTATAATTTGGGATACAACCTAGTATACATTGATAGATATAATCCATATAAACAAAAGCTCTTTGGGGTGCCCAAATCAGAGTGTTTGAGAATCCCTATAAGCTATCACTATATGCCATAACCTTTAGCATATTTTTTTTTTTAAGTTGTGAGAATAGCCTAAAATCTGAATGAATTGCTTACTTAACATTTAGCCAGAATCACACAAAGTTTCTTAAAACGCTATTGACAATACTAAATATTCTTATTTAGCACTCAATAAGATTGCTGCAATAAAAATGTATGTTGCACCCTGGCTGATTTGGCTCAGCAGTAAGAGTGCTGGCCTGTGGACCAAAGGGTCGTGGGCTTGATTCCTTGTCAAGGGCACGTACCTGGGTTGTAGGTTGGATCCCAGGCCTTGGTAGGGGTGCATGCAGGAGCCAACCAATTGATGTGTCTCTCTCACATCAATATTTGTCTTTCTCTCCCTCCTATCCTCCCTCCTATCCTCCCTCCCTCCCTCCCTTTCACTCTCTCTAAAAATCAATGAAAAAAATATCCTTGGGTGAGGATTAACAAAAAAAAAAAAAAGAAGAAGAAGAAGAAGAAGAAGGCGGCGGCTAAGAACATTTGAAAGGATAAATCTTAACCCATCTGTTGGGGAGTGTAGGCTTTGTCTGGTGTTAGATTTACATCTGTTCTATATGTTGTAACCATAAAATTGTGCTTCCTGGATTAATTATAAGGTCCCATATTGCTATTTGAGAAATGTTTTCTTATAACTTAAAGTTCTCTCTTCGGAAAGTCTTTAGTTAGGGGTAAAAAGTCTTACAAAGAAACAGTTTAATAAGCGATGTTAACATTTTTACTAAGCAAAAGATACTTAGTTCTCTTCCCACAAAAAGAAACAAAAAACAATGAGTGTTACTAACATTTTCTATTTATTCATTAATAAAAAGTGCATAGTACAAGCCCTTTATCCCAGTCCAAGTACTCAGTGAAAGATTACAATAAACCCTGATGGCACAGACATGATTTGTTTGGCATGATTAAACATTTAAAAACAGCAATTAACATTTAGTATAGCACATGACCACTTTCCTTTTAACAAAGTAATCAGACATGATAACAAATACATATGATTTTTCATTTAGAAATATTATAATGTTAAAATTAAACCTACCAATTCAGCAACAAAAATTTAACCCAACAACTGTAAACTCCCATTTTTCCTTCAAGTTGCTGTTTTGTCTTAAGCTGAGCTGGTCAAATTTTAGCACATATTCATTTAGAGTAAAAGACTTTCGTTCAGAGTGATAAATTTCCAAGGTTCCTTTGAAAATGTAAGAATTTGCTAATTCCATAAACACTGTCATATCACATACCACAAAGACACTAAAAGTAATTATGGAATAGCTGAACTTAATAGTTATTTTGGAAAAATCTCTGCAAGTTGTTTAAAATATGACTTGCTGACCATGGAACAGTGCTTGGATCGATACACGATAAAATCATTTCCTATACATAGTTCCAATGTTAACTTTTTCCAAATGGAAAAAAGCAAAACAACAAAATCATTATTTTGCATAAAAGAACATTAAATGACTCCAAAAATAAATTCTTAATGACATAGTGATTAAAATGTGAAGATTTATCTTTCTTTTTTCCAGATCATTTAAAAATGACTGTAGCCATAATTCAGGTGAATGTCTATAAGCCAAGTAATGAATAAGAGTGTGCTCAATAAAAAGGCCACATGTGGAAACTTAAGAATTAAAAAGAATATAAATTACTAGTTAGGTTAACAGGAATATTTTATATGCAGCACACTATCATTTTTAAAACTACAGAGAAATTTTACAAGCAAAAATACCAAGACTAAATACACTAAAAACTTTTGTTACTAGTTAAATAGATGGTCCATATAGGAAAAGGTTAATATTTTAGATGTAATGTCATTAAATGTATGTGACAGAAATGAAGAACTGGGAATAAGAATCCAGACTTCCAGGTCTCTAACACTAGACATTGTTTCCATGTCTTCGACCAATGACAATTCTCCATTATTTGTGAGCCGTTGATTTAGTGAATACATCAGGATCTCTGCCAGGATTTATAGTAGTTTACAGAACAGACTGATAAAATGTATGTGCAAGCCTTCAAAGTTCAGGGGGCAGGGCAGAAATAGGAATGCTTACAGGCATTTAACTCCATCTTATACCATTCCTGCCCTTTCTGCTTTAAATACATTAATAGCTCTAGAGCTGGGAAGGATTCCAAAAGGCCACAGCAAGAGGAAAAACCTAAACACTATGGTATTTTTTATCCAGGATTCGACTTACCTGTATTACAATACCCTTGATTAGCACAAGTAATTAAGAATAGGTTATATTATTTCAAGAAAGTGAGCACAAAGCCAAGATGCACAAGAGGAATGCAAGCACTCAATATTGGATTATATAATGAAATGAAGCCCTTACAATGTTATGGTCCAGAATATAATCATGATGAAGGGGGGAAAATACCCTAAGAGTGTCACACAACTGTATCAGAGACTCTATTAAACAGTACAGTGATATAGAGAAGTTTATTCAATTCATACAAGTAATTTCTCAGATTGATACAGTGAAAAGCTAGGCAGGTCTAGGGGGAAAAAAATCCTTACAGTGATAGCAAAATATCTTCTAGCTCCATAAATCATCTGTAATCACCTGCTAGGAAAAAATTCCAAACCCACATAGGTGATGCAGGCTTTTAAAAATGCCATCTGTATTCATTTTCTTTCAAACTGACCAAAACAATGCAATCTTTTACTTTTTATACAGTTCAAAATTTCACCTATATTGCCCCACCCCAATCCATCCTATTACCAAATAAGAATGAGATATAGGGTAAGAAAAAGACCCTTGATTGTTTCTCATTTTCCTCTTTTTTCCTTGGAGTAAACCAGGAATTCATTAAATATTTTTAAAAGTCAGAAGGACAACAAAATACTTAGAGTAAATAGCATTCAAATGTCAGTAGGCAAACAAGCCCCCAATACAGCTAGCTTTAGGAGTTTCATTTAACAGGGAAGTGTTTGAACAGAAAGGAAGCTTTCTGAGAGGCACCCATTTAAAAAATAAATTACAGATTAAATTATTACTGTATAGATTATACCTGGCAAAGGCAAAAAGAATGAATAATTTTCCTCCTTTCGTGAATCTTGTAAGGCTAGTTAGTATACAGTGGCTTCAAATGTCATATAATGGACTGTAAATCATCCACCATATTTAAATCATGTTTATTTAAAGTTTTCTTAATATTAGACATTTTATGGGAATAAAAAACTTAGTAAACAGTTATTTCACGTCTTCTCTCTTCCTTGTCTAGTCACATAAGCCAGTTGTAGTCGATGATACAGATTTCAGCTGTAACTTGTAAAATATTACAAAGGCTGCCACAGTCCCAAGAACTGACACCCACCCACAAATAACTACCAAGGTACGTAGAAATACAGTGTGGTTCTAATTTTCTTTCATACAATCTCAGACAATCCCAAATAACTTTATAAATACCCTATGAAAAAAGCAACTTCAAAACCTATCAAAACTATTTAAAATATTTAAGTGCAGAGATCTCCAATTTCCTTCAATCGGGCCAGAAATCATCACCAAAATTGTAATCACAGTTACAAATAGAATGAGTGGAATGTTTGAGTTTAGGATAACCAAAAAGGCCCATGTAACTTTTTAAAATATAATCATTTACTCAAATACACTGTGAATAGGAATGATGGTAACACAGGAAGCAAAAATAAGCTTGCAAATGAAATTTCTAGAAGCTCATGAAAACAATACCATCCCATATTGCAGATGCAAAAGGAAGAACAGTTCTAATGGGGTTAAGAGTACTCTGGTCATCTTCGTTCATTTGGTCGTGCAAGGTGTTAACTATTTTCACTTCCAATATCACAAAGTTAGTCCACAGGAGGGGCTGGTGGATCCTGTCCCTGTATTGGAGAGAAATTATGGAAGTGACATCTTAAATCCCAGTGCAGACAATCTAACACATAGTAAGAATTGAGCAGCAATGCTCCATTCCCCCATCCCAAATCATATCCTTATTAGAATTTTCCATATGATTTTGCACAAGGGAACACTAGATTAACAGTAATTCACCAATGTTTGTCTCACTATTTCCTGTGGTATGGAAGAGGAAACTGTGTAACAGTGGTATGTTTGGGATGAAATTGATCTCCCTAACAGCTCCAGAGGTGATATTTAAACTAATAAAGGTAGTTCCACCCCTCTTGCTAAGGTGATGGATTAAGTACAGGACAAAGTGAAGCTAGAGACTTTTGTTTCTTACTACAGAATGTCAATGAAGGCACATGTGACTTCAGGTGCTATTGGCAGCCAGCTAATGACTACAAAGGGAGCCCATCTTGGAATGAAGCTGAAAGAAAGTGTCTTTGACTTCTGGTCAAGATGGAGGCGTAGGTAAATGCAGTATTGTGTCCTCCCACAACCACATCAAAGTTACAACTAAACTACAGAACAACCATCACTCAAAACCGCCTGAAATCAAGCTGAATGGAAGTCCTAAAACTACGGAATTAATGAAGCAGCCACATCCAGACTGGTAGGAGGGGCAGAGGCTGACGGGCTGGTCCCACACCCACGTGTGGCGGATAAAAATCAGGAGGATACCTAGGCTGGGAAGGTCCTCCAAGAGGACTGAGGGGTCCCCATCCCACACCGGGCACCCCAATCAGGGTTGCAGTGCCAAGAAGAGAATCCCCATAACCTATGGCTGGAAAAACCAGCGGGAACTGAGGCTCAGGGAGGCTGAGGCGGCTGGAGCCCCAGCCAGCTCCTCTTAAAGGGCCCGTGCACGGAATTACTCAGACTCTCTCCCTCTAAGCTTAGAGAGGCAGCTCAAGGGGCGCCAGAGACATACAAGGAAGAACTGAGCTGTTTGGCACTGGAGTGAGGGCTGAAGAGGTGGCTTTCTCCGGGACAAACGTGCTGTCAGAGGCCTTTATTCCTTTGGTGAGCCCTTCCCTGGGACAGCAGACAGCTGCCATATCTGGGACTCTAGGAACCTGGCTAATACTGGTTGCCCCACCCAACATCAGGCCCACCCAAGCTGTTGCCACTTGCTTCACCATGGGATTGGCCTATTTTGGATCCTGCTTCAGATTTTCCTAAATTCTTTCAAACAAGCAGCGTCTGGTCTCAGCTAGCCCCATACCTCTTGTTAAGTAATATATAGAAACAAACACAGGGAGGCAGCCAAAATGAGGAGACAAAGAAACAGGTCCCAAATGAAAGAACAGAAAAAAATCTCCAGGAAAAGAACTAAGTGAAATGGAGATAAGCAACCTAACAGATGCTGAGTTCAAAATACTGCTTATAAGGATGCTCAATGAACTTAGTGAGGGCCTCAAGAGCATAAAGAAGGACCAGTCAGAAATGAAGGAGGCACAGTCAGAAATGAAGGAGGCATTAACTGAAATAAAGAATAAATTACAGAGATTCAATAGTAGAGTAGGTAAAGCCAAGAAGCAAACCATCAATTTGGAATATCAGGAAGCATAAAACACCCTATCAGAACAACAAAAAGAAAAAAGAATCCAAAAACATGAGGATAGTGTAAGAAGCCTCTGGGACAACTTCAAGCATGCCAACATTCGCATCTTGGGGGTGCCAGAAGGAGAAGAGCGAGAATAAGAAACTGAAAACCTATTTGAAACAATAATGGCAGAAAACCTCCCTAACTTGGGGAAGGAAATAGACATACAAGTCCAGGAAGCACAGAGAGTCCCAAACAAGATGAACCCCAAGAGGCCCACACCAAGACACATCATCATCAAAATGCAAAAGGTTCAAGACAAAGAGAGAATCTTAAAAGCAGCAAGACAAAAACAGTTAGTTACCTACAAAGGAGCTCCCATAAGACTGTCAGCTGATTTCTCAAAAGAACCTTTGCAGGCCAGAAGGGAGTGGCAAGAAATCTTCAGAGTGATGAAAAGCAACAACCTACAACCAAGATTACTCTATCCTGCAAAGCTGTCATTTAGAATCGACCACATAGTTTCCCAGACAAGAAAATGTTAAAGGAGTTCATCACCACCAAACCGTTATTATATGAAATGTTAAAGAAAAAGATAAACTATATGAACAAACAAAATGGCAACGAATACATATCTATTGGCAATGGAATCTACAAACTGAACAGGAAGAACAGAAATATTCTCACAGATACAGAGAACATTTTGTTGGTTGCCAGATGGGAGGGGGTTTGGGGGAGTGGGTGAAAAAGGTGAAGAGATTAAGAAAAACAAATTGGTTGCTAGAATGACAAACCTCACAGAGAAGGGGATTGGGGGGTGGGAAGAAATAAACCAAAGAACTTATATATGTAACCAATGGACACAGACAACAGTGTGGGAAAAGGCGGGAGGGGGGTGGGAGTGGGGAAAAGGGGGTCAATGGGGGAAAAAATGAGGACCATCTGTAATACATTCTACAATAAAGATTAAATAATAATAATAATAATAAAAGAAAAAGAAACTGTCTTGATGACACTGTTAAACTTGCTAAACACTGACCCTACCTGTGGATTTTGTGGTGTATAAAGCACTTATTTAAATCAGGTTGAGTTGATTTTTGTTACTTGCAATAGAAAGCATCTGAACTGTAAAGGAAAGATCAATCAGCACTTTAGGAATCTTCAGGAAGATTCCATTTATTTACTCTGACATGCTATGAGGCCCTAGTAAAGGGTGATCAATTTTTCTACTTGGAATAAGTCAATATGTTTTCTTGCTTATTCTTAGGGCAGTGGGACTATTATTCCTAACAATGAACTAAGGTTCGGGGGACTGTAATCTTGTCATTTTAATAGCTTCTAAATTAGCTTATTAAATTCGATTTCTTTAGCTCCTAACAATGAGGTTGCTCTTTGATATGAAATAAAACTGTATATAGAAAGTTAAAAAAAGGGTTAAGGAGAAAGCATTTTACCAAGACAAGCTGTTTAATGGGTAACTCCCTGTCCAAGAAAAGAAACAAAAATACATTAAAGGCTTTTTTAAAAAAATCCTCACCCGAGGATATTTTTCTATTTATCTTCAGATAGAGTGGGAGGGAGAGAACAAGAGGGAGAGAGAGTGTAACACTGACATGACAGAGACACATCGACTGGCTGCCTCCCACATGACCCCAACCAGGGCTGGGACGAACTGCAACTGAGGAACATGCCTTTGACCTGAATCAAACCCACGACTCTTTGGTTGGTGGGCCGACACTCTAACAGCTGAGCCAAACCGGCCAGGGCAAGACATATATATATACATACACACATATATAGTGCTAATGAGGCCTTCTTTCTTAATTCAAGTCAGTATTCTACATATCTAAATGTTCTAATCCTAAAAAAACCAAAGCACTGACCAATTATCAGCACGTTTGCTTTCTCTTATATAAGAAAGTAGTTTAACTGAACTTCTTTCTTATATTAACAACACAAGATTAAAGAAAAGAAGCAATTATTTTAAGAATTCCACATGGTAAAGGTTGAAGAAGGGAATTTGTGGGATAATTTGGTGTTCAACAAATGAATCCATCACAGAAATATTTTTTAAAAGATAATATCCAAATCAAAGGGAAAAAATAAACAAATGTTTGTTCTGAAAATGATTAAAAGGAATCTTTTAATAGAGGTTCTAGTAAAGAAAGTACTAAAAACTCTCTACTGGGTCACTTCATCATGTTTTTCATTTAGAAAATTCTAAAAATGATTGTAACCACGTCTATCAAAATTTACCAACATGGATGATTCCTATCTCTGCTTTTGCCAGCTTAGTTGATCTACTGTGATGCAGAACCAGAAAAAATGAGTTTGAGAGAAATAGAATGGGAAAACAGGATTTAGCCAGGCTCAGTATCTCTACTATATTTAATAGCTAGGACAGAGGGGAGAAAATGAAGTGTGGGTAAAAACATTTGAACTGCAGCTAGCATAAGAATGTAAGGAACTGGAAACATGAGAGGCAAGGGATCAACTGAGAAGTGGACAGAGGACTGAAATTTGAGGAATATTGCTGTAGATTATCATGGACTGGATAATTTTCTATGTTTCTCATGTGAGTAAAGATTAGAATTCATTTTTTAAATTATTTTGGGGCTACTATGCTTATCTATATATATAAACACCATGAACACCAAGATGTTTGGGGTTGCAAGATTTACTAGGATGACAAAGGAAAGAAAAACTTAAACTTACTCCATGAATTAAATCTTCCTTTTGCTAATTCAGATACTTCAGTCAAAACAAACTCCTCCCCCTTCCCAAACACACCCCTTCCTCAAATGGGTTTTCAATCCACGGCACTTACATTATGAGGACTGGCTGGCTTTCCAGTTAGATTGGATCCTCTTAGGTTAGGAGGTCTCAGTAGAAACAAGATCAATGCAATAACCATCCAGGCCATCAGGATCATGGTAATACTGATGCCATTGTCACCAGAGGGTCCTGGTACTAAAGACAAAAAACATATTTGCAACAAACCTGGAGCATGATTATAATAGTTAGATAAATGTAAGAACAATTATGTTTAAATGTTAACTTCAAAAACTGTATTAATATAAAACACTATATTAATAATTTAGAGAAATACAATTATGAAGTATTACATTTTCAATTTCCCTTTCCTCCTGTGAGAAAAATGTCAAATGGTATAAACCAGTCAAAAGCCAAAGCCTATTAAATGAAGATTTTAATAGTGTAGTTCTTAATATTTTGGGGTAATAGTATCCTTTGAGAATTTGATAAAAATTAAGGGCATTCTTTTTTTTTTTTTTTTTTTATCCTCACCTGAGGACATTTTTTCTATTTTTTGTTCAGGTAGAGTGGGAGGGAGAGAGAGGAACAGAGAGAGAGAGAGAAACATCGATATGAAAGGAACACATCGAGTGGCTACCACCCACAAGACCGACCAGGGCCGGGGACAAACTGCAACCGAGGTACATGCCCTTAGCGGGAACCGAACCCGGGTGTCTCCGGACCGCAGGCCGACGCTCTAACCGCTGGGCCAAACCGGCCAGGGCTAAGGGCATTCTTTTTATCATAAGAATCCATGTGTACACATTCAATAATTCTGCATATAATGTGGAAGGTTCATGAACCCACAAAGCCACTAATCCATATATACTGAGATCTACGAAGCCCAGGTTAAAATCACCTGACATACATTAAAGACAATCTACTTTGGGAGAAGGGAGAATTCTGCATTTTAATTACAGAAGCAGCAAAAAAAAAAAAAAAAAAACCAAACCAAAACAAAAAATAGAGCTTAAGGAAAAGGGAATATCTGAGTTGTATAATATATAAAGATCCCTTTAATGATATTCTCAACAAATAGATTAATTTGGCCTTTTTTTTTTTTTTTTTTGCAAATAGAAGTTGGATTCAGATCTAGATATTTTGAAGTATATGCATTTATCAAAAGATGTAAGTCGGGTATATGTACGTAGATATCAGTTTTCCCTGTTCCTTGAGGCAGCAATATCTTATTTAATTCAGAATAACAAGTACCTACCAGAGTGCCTGGCCTATGGTATGACCTTTATAAACTTCTAATAAATGAAACAATTTTTACTGAACCATATTAGAAAAGTCAATTGTCAGAAATGAAAATTACAGAAGACTGAATTTCTAAGCATAGTATCTCCAGTTAGTTATTAAAATAGGCTTTCAAGCCCAGATGGTGTGGCTCAGTGGTTGAGTATCAACCCAAGCACCAAAAAATCGTTGGTTTGGTTCCTGGTCAGGGCATATGCAGGATGTGGCTAATCGATGCTCTCTCTTATCGATGTTTCTATCTCTCTCTCCCTCTCCCTACCTCTCTCTCTAAAGTCAATAAAGAAAAAAAATTTTTTTTTAAATAATAATATAAATAAAATAGGCTGTCAAGACTATAACTGTTTGGTTTTGTTCTCCTTGCCTCAGAAAAAAGTAAAAGAAATCCATGCAATATGTACTGCACTGGGGTCCATGGGCCCAGGACTCACTACCAAGAAAGTGAAGAGACAGTTGACATTGCCAAGGCCAAAGAATTAGTGACAAAGGGGACAAAGTCAAGCAAAGGGTTGAACTAGCCCAAGAGCAGGCTGGATAGGAATGCAGCCTCTTGCCTTTTCCAACCCCAACCACTTCCCCAGAAAGAGCTAACATAGTATTCAGGGTCAACAAAATTGCATTACTCATCACACAATGCATCAGCAGTTTTTTTCTATATATCCATATATTTTCCTTGTTCCTTCCTATTATACTAAACATGCCTCCAATATAACTAAGACCTATTTCTCCACCTGAGCTTTGGATCCCACTGTTCTCGCAAATCCACTATCTTCTCTCCTGTGTATTCAGCACCCCCTTCTCCATTGCAGCCAACCCATCCATAATCACTTAAATGTGATCAAGTTTCTCCCATCTTTCAAAAAAAAAAAACCCATCGTTTCCCTCAACCCCTTACTCTGTCCACCTATCAGAACTAATTATCTTGAAAGTTGACTACATTTCACTACCTCCCATTCACAGCTCTAGTTGGTATCCACCTCCATCATCACTCGAACAGCTTTTCAAAAGGTTACCTATGACACCTCCATGCTGCTAAGCCTAGTGGGTAGTTTCAGCCCTCATTTTCCAAGGATTTTGGAAAAAAGAGCCTTTTCAAAACCCTTTCTTCCTTTGTCTCCTATGGCATTACCACTGCCTGATTTTCTTTCTAACACTCAGCCACTCACTCCTTTATATGTTTGTTTTCCTCTTCCTGGCTTTTAAATGTTAGAATTCCCGATGGTCAATTTTAGGTTCCCTTCTCTTCTTGCTGTACACACCATCATGCTCACCTGCAGCTTCATTTACTCTGTATTCAGACCATATCTAAAATTTTATTTTTAATCCTCACCCGAGGACATTCCTCCATTTTCTGTTGCCGACGCTCTAACCACTGAGAAAACTAGCCAGGGCACCATATCTAAATTTATACCCAGTCCTGGCTCTGTGAACTTCAGACCCAAATCTCCCAACTGTCGGTCTACATCAATAGTTCTATTTTTTTTAATCTTCACATCAACCATTCTTAAACTGTAGTATATATTAGAGCCATTCAGCAGCTTCTTAAAAATGCAGACAACTAAATCACACTTAACTTACTCAGTATCCCAAACTAAAACCATGAGCATTTCCTCTGCCGCATCTTCCATGCCCCACCAAACTGGGTCCCTATTCATCCAGCTGCCTCAGCCAGAAACCTATGAAAACATCTTTTGTTCTCTCTCAATGACCCTCTATTTAACACATCACAAATTTTATGTCAATTTTAATACCTAATATCACTCCAATCTGTCCAATTCTAGCTATACTCCCATACTTGCTCAAGCTACCTTCACTCTTTGGTCTATTTCAATGGCCTTTTTTTTCTTTCTTTTTTTCATTCAATGGCCTCTTATTATATCTCCCCAGATCTACTCTTTTTTTTCTATCCTCACCCGAGGACATTTTTAAATTGTTTGTTCAGATAGAGTGGGAGGGAGAGAGAGGAAGACAGAGAGAAACATTGACGTGAAAGGGACACATCGAGTGGCTGCCACCCGCATGACCAACCAGGGCCAGGGACAAACTGCAACCGAGGTACGCGCCCTTAGCGGGAACTGAACCCAGGCTCTCTGGACGCTCTAACCACTGAGCAAACGGCCAATGCCCCAAACCTATTCTTGCCTCCTTAATTCTGTCCTCTACACTGCTCTAAGAGTGATTTTTTTTTTAAAAGCAAATACTATTTATTATTTTATTACTAAATAGCCAAAATTTCAGTGGTTACTTTGAACCACTTATCTCTCTAAAGGATTAAGGCATTATCTCTCTTAATACTATTAATAACCTTATTTTATGGTAGGTATTATCCTATCTTAATTTTATAGATGAGGAAACTGGGGAAAACCAGGGTTAAATTCCAATGTCACATAGTTGGTATGTGGCAAAGCTGGGATTTAAATACAGGGGCTCTCATTTCAGAGCCTGTGCTCTTGACCTCTTTGCTGTCATAACCTCTGACAATATCACATAGTAAGGCCAACCTCTGAAAACTGCCATTAGTGTAAGTAGTGAAACTGGAAAATACAGATTTAAAAATAATTTTTCACAGGGAAACTTGTAACTAGCTGTTAGATAAAACTAGATTATGTATTTATTAATTTTTCTTTATTGATATATTAGAGACACAGAGAAAGGGAGAGGTAGAGAGATGGAAACACCGATGAGAGAGAACATCAATTGTCCGCCTCTGCCATGTCCCCCACTGGGGATCAGGACACAATCTGGGCATGTGCCCTGAATGGGAATTGAACCGGCGACCTCTCAGTGCATGGGTCAACGCTCAACCACTGAGCCACACCAGCTGGGCAAAACTAGATAATTTAGTTAGTCAAAGAGCCCTGGCCGGTTTGGCTCAGCGATTGGAGCGTTGGCCTGTGGACCAGAGAGTCCCAGGTTGGCTCCCGCTAGAAGCACGTACCCCCAAAAAAAAGAAAAAGGAAAGAAAATAAAGTTAGTCAAAGAAAGATAACTGTGCTTTCTATACATTATCACCTCTTATCTTGCCCCACTCAGAAATAAAATACTAGATTAATTAACTGTATAGACCAGAAGTGTAACTCCAATGTCAATTCCTGTTTTATTCAATTTGAAAAATGGGTCTCTTACTTTCTGATACTCTTGACAAGTAAAAGATTCTGGAGCTTCAGAGAGTTAAACCTCAGATCACAAATTTGCTAATTCATATTTCTGGACCAAGCAGCCCTAACAAAACGCCCACTCCTTTTTAGTTCCCTGTAACTGTCTCCTAGCTTAGTTCCTATTGCAGCCTTTCCTTCATGCATTTTGCTGCCAGAAAAGTCTGCTTAAAAACACTACTCTTAACACATCTCTGCTGACCAACCCACTTACTCACTCTCTACTGTCTACTGCTTCAACTCTGAACTCTCGCAGCCTGGCCTTTCCTCATGACATGTTTTGGCCCACTCATCAATATTAACTCTTAACATTTCTCAGAAAAAGCATCCTTTGTCAGCCCTATACCTTCTTCCTTCTTTACCCAGTGGTTCCTAGACTGCCTGTGTATCAGAATAGCCTGTGCCGGTATCAACACCACAGAGCCTAAGGCCCTGCCTCACACCATCTAATTCAGGATCAGCTCGGGGGTGGGGTCATGAACCATCGATATTTTTAAAGCTTTCCAAAGAATCTGATGCAATAGTTAAATACTAGTTTGGCTAACAGCATTTGCTAACTTTGCCAACTCAGCCCTGGGGCACCCGTAATTTTTCCTGTCTGGTATGTTCTTACATCTAACCTCCATTTATTCTCCTATATCCTACATCCCTCCCTCTTTTGTAAAAATCTCCATTTCCTCTGCCCACCTTTTCCTTTCTTCTCCAGACAAGTGTAGCAGTTCTAGTTTGAAGAAATGGCTTCCT